CCCCAAAATCAGTGCTGTGATCAGACAACTTTCCAGGACAAGACCAGCATTAAGTACAAAAGATGCTGAATGTGAAGAGCAGGAAGAAATGTTATTTGGTGGCCAAACTGATCTCTGCAGGACTGAATAAATGAAAATTTCCAGCATTTTGAATGCTCCATGCATTGACACTAATCTAGTTTCTGGCTCCTTTCAGCACAGTAATGTTGTACTTAATTCAGAATACTGTACTTCTGCATCTTCTCAGTAAAAGTAATGCAACATAATTCAATTATTTTCAGTTTCTTGCTTGATAGGGGGAACCGTGAGATAACACTGCTGACCATACCAGAGTACGGCAGAGCCTCACTAATTTGCACTCTGGTAGGAGAAAACAAAAAGCTTTGACCTTTTGTGTGTGGATTAGCAGAGTATTGGTAGTATATTTCCACTATAACCCACTTCACACAGCATATTAGTAAAATGTACTTTTAAAAAATGCACCCTGCACAGGAGGAAAAGTGATTTTGAAGTATTTCAGTGCAACCCATGGATCACCTTCTAAAAGTGAACTCTTAAATAAAAATAGATCCAAGTAAACACTGAAACAACCCTACTGATTGCCTGAAAATAGAGTGAATGAAAATAGTGACTTCTATAGTCCAGTCAGATGTCTACAGTTCTGCCTAACTTAAACTCTGTTCTGTAGGAAAGATACACGTTTTTGGAAGTTTTGAGCAGGAAGCAGGAAGCAGGATTAGCAATCATCTCCTTTGTTTCCACATAATAGAAGAAAGGCAAAAAACAGAATTAAAAATAAAACAACATATGTCACCCACTGGACACACACAAATGACCCCATTACCCGTATTCCTGCAGATTGGCATACGCTGCATTAGAAACAAAACCTTATGCAGCCTGCTGGAAAACTTTTCCTGGCCTATACCTTGAGCGTGGCGTTGTTGGTTTGGGGCGTGCAGAGCCAGGAGGAGCCCCACGTTCACACGCTGCTTTAAGCACGGGCCGGCTGCAGATTCCCCCTCGCTGCTTGGCCTCCCCGCAGCCGGCCCCGGCCCTGCTCTGCTGCTGCTGCTGCTGCTGCTTAGCGGTGCAAGTGTGGAAGTAAAAATCTCCAATTAGAAACTGGGCTGCAGCTCCCCTCCAGCCTGTCCTAGGGAGGGTGCCCCAAACTCATCGCTGCCCGCCCAGCTGCTCTGGGCTCCTCACGCCTAGTCCAACAACACACAACTGGGGATAATCAGAAGAAGAAAAAATACGTATTTTTTCCAACCTGTTTTCCACAAGTGTTTGAGAAGAAACATTCTCTTGCACAAAGTACACAAATAATCTAGGCAAACAGATTTCCTACGGGTTTGAAGACAGGAGAAACAAACCAACTCTTGAGAAGCTATTGATATTTAAGAACAGCTAGGTACAATATTCTGAAGCTATTCTAGTCAAATAAAAACATTCCTTATAAACGTTTGTGACATGTTGTTCCTACTTCACTGTTAGCTTACTCGTTATTTAGGAAAATCTATTATTTTGTCACAAGTTTCTCAGTCAGTGTGCATTAGTGAGGTGATACCGTATGGAAAGTTTAACGCAAACTTAACCTTCTAGTTATGCCTCTAAGAAGCAAGAGTTAGAACTACTCAGGAATAATACTCTCAGGGAAGAAGACAAATGCACTACATATTGAAGTCACATTGTGGAAGTAAAAATCTCCAATTAGAAAGCCCAAGTGGACGCACATTGTTAATAAGGAGCTCCACACGCCTCCCAAGAACAGCACCTCCCTCCCCAAAATTATGAACATGCAAGCAATACGTGGATTTACTTAAGAGTCAAGAAGTCACACAATTTAGCACTCACTACAAAATACGGTTAAAAAAAAATCACAGGCTACAGCTCGAAAGCAAGAAAAAAAAAAGGCCCTTTGCTCCCCATGGCAAAGTCACTTCTCAACAACAAAAACAAAATCAGAAAGACACCCCCAAAAACTTTCACTACAGCTCTTTCAATTAAATAAAAGCACACAGTTTAGCTATCAACACCACTTCATTACTGTAATAAATAAAAAAAAAAGCACACGGAGGTCTAGTGACTATATGAAAAAAACATACATGCATCGTTAATCACCATTTTAGCTTGTTTGTGTTTGAGTCTACTGGTTACAGAGTTTAATTCCAAACAGAACTATTCCACCTCTTATCATCATATCCTTCTGATCAGTTATCTTAACTGTAAACGATCCCTGTCAGATTAGAAAGAGATAAATAACATTGAGTCAAGCTGAAAAAAAGAGAAACGGGGCACAGCAATCTTACATAAAGTCATACCTCCTCTTTTTACCATAGGGTCATACAGGATGGGACTGCTTAGCTGCAATGGACACATCCCGTACAACTTGACTCAGCTATGGCCTTTAGGACATTACCAACAAGGTGAGCACACTTACGGGTACATATATTTAAGTCTGAGAACTTGAATACTGCTGGTGAATTTACAAGGATGCTACTACGAGAGGCGTTCAGAGGTCTTACTTTTCTTTCCTTTTTTAAAAATGATTTTTCCTCCCCTGTTTGAGGTCCCATTGTACAGACTTACCCAAAAGGCCTCTGTATGAGAGCTGGATGAAGCTGCTGAACACCGAAGGCAAAACCTACCAACAAAAACACATCACATTCTCTAAATGGGTGTTTCTTTGGCTGCTTATCTTTTCTATGTGCATACACAAATATACACAGAAAACACAGAGTAACAGCCTTCACCAACAGGCTGCAGGGAAGATTTTTGAAAGGTTATACAACCACAAATTAGCAAGCAAAATAAATCATATATATAATGCATACGCTCAGACGAATGAGCAGAGAACTTAAACAGCAAAGCGCACATGTACAACTTTGATTCTTACAGATGTTTAAATGAAAAACTTTGTCTAAACAACAAGCACAAGTCATTCCTTTCTTATTTTGTGCTTCTTTCTGGTCCCTTATTATAAGCCTCTGAAGGATTCTATGTTACTTTTTAAATCCTGCCTGCAGCTGGGAACTCTGTGCAGCCTTGTATGCAAGTCACCTCCGCACATGGGGTCTAACCCGCCTTCATCTCTTGCTCGCTTCTGCCTCCAAGTGCCCAGGCCCGAGCCCACTCCCTCCTTGATGGGCACCACGTTGCTTGCCCGAGTATTGCTCGGGTTTGGCACTCAGGAATTTGGAGCAGCCTCCGCTAGAGCACAGATAAATGTCCACAGGCTACGCACTCCCGGCTCTCTTGCTGCAAAAGCAACAGTTTGGGAAGCGGCTAGGACATCAGGTGGGCTCCGATGTGGTCGCGGGAAGAGCCGTTTCCTTTTCAAGCCTACATAATAACTCCCATCTGTTCCAGGAGCTCGCATTAAGATCCTGTTTATGTTAATAAGACCGCACACATTGGAAGCGCTTCACGCCTTGGCCAGTCTTTCCCTGCAATGATACTGTAAATGGTAAGTGCTTCTGCGTTCCCAGGAGCGGGAATAACCAATGAAGAGTCTCAGTTGCAGAACTCTTCCCGGGCAACTTTAGATACTTTATCCTTGCATCCTTTCACTTTTAAACAAGGCTCGGGTGCAGAACGGACAGAAAGTTACCACACATTACACTTAAAAATCCCATCCGTGGCGCACCCAGCCACGGAGCGCTGCAGGGAAAGCACAGGCCCGCGCGAGCCCTCCGGCCTTTGCGGCGTGCCGGGAGAGCCGGCCGGAGCGGGGGAGGCGCGGGGGCCGCTGCTCACCTGGCTGCATTATCCGCGGCTTGGCGCCCAGGTAGGCCAGGTTCACGTTGGCCTTCCTGCCGTCGATGATGGGGTTGGGGTCCTTGCACGCTCGCTCTGCAGCGCCTCTGTCAGCCATGGTGACCTGCGCAGGGTGATGCATGTGGTGCCTTGGAGCGGGTCTCGCGCGACGCCGAGGGCTCCCCACGGGGGCTCCCCACGGGGTGGGGTGGGGAAGGGGGACCCGCGGGCAGGCGGCGCAGGGCACGGGCTGGGCTCGGCCGATAGCGCCCGGCGCGGCCCTATCAGGCAGCAACAGGCACGACAGGGGAAGAAAAGCAAAAAAAAAAAAAAAAAAAAGAGAGAGAGAGAAAAACACCCGAGCAGCCCCGCACAGCCGTGCAGCCCCCTTCTCCCCGCTAGTTCTCAGAGGTGGCCCCGGCCCCGCGGCACTTACAAAGCCGTATCCACGGGACTTGCCCGTCTGCCGGTCCGTGATGACCACGGCCTCCTCGATGTCGCCGAAC